TTTTGATAAAAACAACCAATATTAAATGCACCATCTACATGCCCTATCTCAGCAGATTTCTTATAATAAATGAACGCTTTATAATCATTTTTTTCAACTCCAATGCCGTATTGATAATTATACCCAATATTAAATGCACCACCTACATGCCCTATATCAGCAGATTTCTTATAATAAATGAACGCCTTATAATCATTTTTTTCAACTCCAATGCCGTATTGATAATTATAACCAACATTATATACAAAATCAGCAAATTTTTGATGGTACGTTAATGTCTCATGTGTATTGTTTTTTGGAACAATTTGCAAGGTCATGTTGAAGTCTGTTTCTTTATCTGTAATAGAACTTATTCTTGACATCAGAACTTTATTTATGTATGAATACCGCTGATTTAATTTTTCTATAGCCTTAGGTTGTTCTTGAACTGTCATTTTTACAATTAATTCTAATATATGAATTCCACAAAACGAAAAACTGGAATTCTTTATTTTCTGAAATTTCACTTTCAGAAACAACCATTTCTGAAAATGTAATTTCGGAAAATCAACAATACCAGGTTTTCGTTTTGTAGCATTCATATATTTTGGAGGTTCTGGTCCTATAGCATTACAAACTTTATTCTCCAAATCAACATAATAGTACTGGGATAGGCACTTTATTATCTTGTAAAATAGTATTCTAAATGAGTGTATATCTGCCACTTGCTCGTATTTTTTGTAAAACGAAACTTCTAGTGCAGCATAGAATATGAAATCGATGTTACCCATTATCAAATAAGCCGAAATTTTAGCTTTTCCTTCATGAATTAAAAATATTTGTGCTTCCTACAAAATATTATATTACAAATAAATTTAATGATATAATTACTTTATTATCATCTATGTTGTGAAATATTGATGTCACTGGGTTATATCTAGTGATGGGCGCGTGATGTGCGGAATTCAAAAAATCCCGCGCGGGATTTTTAGAAAAACAGCCGACTAGTTATATCACATATCGATACGTCTTTACAATGGGATATAATCAATGCCATAAATATTTCTGTCCAGTAATCACGATCAATCCTTCGTTTGCTTTTTTTCACCTATTCTTTTTTTTTTTTGCTCACATTTTTATACTTAAAAACTTTCATCATCAAAATCTGGATTTTAGTCATGCTTTGCAAGACGATATAAATTTGAAACAAATATGGAAAGAAATATAATGCAGTGGTTCAGAATATTAAATCAGTTTATTGAACGTATTGAAGAGCTTGAAAATGTGGTTAAAAAAAATAAGACAGCTCAGATTAGAAAGTTGAATCTATTTATAATTGCTATAACGCTATCAATCATTGTAAAGCGCGTAATGTTCTCCATTTAGTAATTCGAGATCGTTAGAAGTTTTACACACTTTCTGTACGGAAAAGTGAGAAGTTTACAAGACAGCCAGAGTTAGGGAATTCGTATGTCTTCTAAAGGAAACGAACAAGGACAATATAGATATCAATTCTAATGAATCACAATGCCGTTGCATCTTTCTTGATTTTGATTGGATGTAGTAATCTAATAATTTTATACATAATGGTCTAGATTTCTTTGATCGGTGTACTTTTTGGTTTGCTGTGCTTGGTGTTACATAAAGCTATATGCATTGTTATTAATTAAAGTAAGTTACAGTCAGACTTCCCTAAATGCGGCCAAAAAATCTTGCATTTAAAAAGGTATTGGATTTAAGAAGGTAAAAATATATGTGTCATATGAGTTGGGGCAAAATAACGTCATGCATTTAGAGAGGTCTTTTATAGACTACATTTGGAACTATGTACGTAACTACATTTTTTATAGGTGATATTAGATTGGCTGGGCGGCAAAGTCGTTGTAATGCTTAATGTAGATTTTTTATTTATGTGTGTTACGGTGTTACCATCTATAGATGCAGACATATGCCAGTATTGTAACTGGTCTTAACGTCAATTGGACGTAACTCAAAGACGTGATGATACGTCAAAAAGCCATAACGTGTGCCATAACACCTGACGTTTGCCGTAACACCTGACGTTTGCCGTAACACCTGACGTTTGCCGTAACACCTGACGTGTGACGTGTGCCGTAACATCTGACATTTGCCGTTGTATGTCGTAACATATACGTACTTGTGCTGCATATGTGCGACACACGCATAAACTCTCACTGGAAATGATTGACAAGTTTTTACAAAGTATTTTACAATCAGCAGATCGTTACGACAAAGTGGTAGAATGGATTCCATTTGACAGATTAAGAAATATAGAATCAATTGGGAAAGGTGGATTCAGTAAAGTATTTTCAGCTACATGGATAGATGGGGAAAGAAAGGATATAGAGAAAAGGGGAGTAGAATTAAAAGTTGCGCTTAAAATGTTGAACGATTCTGAAAATATTACGAATGCTTTTTTAAAAGAGGTAACGTATCATTTGTTTATTTATTTCAATTTACTTAATATATTAAATGTTATATACAGTATAATTACAAGAACTTGGTCGAATTTCATCATCCATTAATTTATACGGCTTGACTCAAGACCCGTATACAAAAAAATTTCATGATGGTTTTAAAATTTGCGGATAGTGGGAATCTGCGGGAATACCTTACATTAAATTTTAAAAAACTTGACTGGAAAAAAAAAATTGGTTTCCTTACAGAAGATAGATAACGAATTAATTTTGGATTTTAATATACGATAACAATTATTTTTGCATTTCAGATTCGATTTTCCGAACAGGGTCTATATTTGTCTGTTCTCATAACGACGTTTGTACGGGATGTAAAAAATAGAAAATTATCGGATAAAAAACGTATAAAAAACGTATTCATCCAATAAACATCCTTTAAAGGTTCGATTTTCCGAACAAAAAATTGAATAATTTCAGAATTTTCCGAACAATTCCAAGAGATTTTTTTTATAGGGATGGGATATTGAGGAGAGGAAGGTCTTTGAAACCTTATTTTGATAGTGGAAATAGCCACTTTCATTCGTACTGTCGTGTTCTATGTCTTCATCAGATCGAATAAACTCTTCAATTTTATCAAGCTTAGAATCACTCGATTCCAAGGATTTTTCTATTGACTCTGAGGGTTTATCAAGTGCTATATTCATTTTGATTACTTGATCTTTAGTTACCTTTATTATTATATTAATGTTTTCATTACCTTTTGTAGAGTTACCAAGATCTAAGATTACTTGATTCCTCGATTTATGTATCGACGTTGTTTCATCAAAATTCTCCACGGAGTAGACGATTTTTGAGAATATTTCTGTTGAACAAGATAAATATTTCTCTTATCATCTTCCTTACCATTACTATCTTATTTTACTATATCTTTAATTATAAATCCATCCTCTATAAGTTCTTCGGGTTCGATCTCTACATCAGGGGTTTTACGCTTATTGACTCCTGCGAATAGGTATCATTCAGATTACACTAAGGTAGAGCCACCTAAAAAAATCGTAATATCGAGTCTCTGATATAATTCAGATATCGATCCTTGGCAGCGTGTCTTTTCGCGATTAATGTCACGTGATGTGTGGCGATTCAATCAATATAAAATTCCTTTTAATAATTTAAATAAATTCAACAGCTTTGTTGTTGTAATTTCGGCAATAGTAGATTCAATAAAATTGATCAAGTTACTAATATAAATAATATGTAAATATCTTTGATGAAAACGGGAATACAGAAAAGCGATACTCTAAAAGTAGCTTCGCTGGAAAATAATTGAAAAAAATTTTAGAAGGCATATACTTCCATCGATTTTGGGAAAACCATGTTCACTAAACATGAACTATGTAAAACATATTAAAACTTTAATATTGAGGAGAAAACCTGATATAAACTGTAATTAGAGATGGAACTTTGAAAGTAATATTTCGTTATTTATACTGTATATAAATTTCTACTTTGATTTTGTTTATTATAATTCTTCATGTATTTCTTCATGTATTCTCAAATATAATAAAATTTTGATCATTTTGGAATCTTATCCCGAAATTCATTTTTAAATAACTATTCTTGTAATATATTTATTATAAAAGTCCAATTTATATTTGAAATTTCTTGCTAAGGTTTATCAGTTGACAAGTGCAGTTTTATCCATAAATTTTCATGCAAACTAGACACAAACATGTTAGACAAACATTCGACCGAAAATTTAATAATTTTGACTAAAAGATGGGTTTAATGCGTGTGCATTAATGCGCATGTTTAGGAATCCGATCTAAATTTTATATAAAGTCTAGAAGGAATAGGTGATAATACAAGTAGGAAGAAAAAGGTTAGAATAAAGATAGTAAAAGGGTTAGAAAGCAATAAATAGTAGATAAGGATACGATATGGGTAGGTTTAGAACATGAAATTAGATATTCGCATTTCCACATTCATGTAAATCACGTTTTTTTAAAACATTGATCGAAGGTATCTTGACGACAACCTGATTAAATTCGATAGATTTTTTTTTATTTTAATTCTACAGATTCATAGAATTCTAGTAAAAAAAATTTCATCGAATTTGGTTAGGTGGTTATCGAGATAGTATCAATTAAAGTTTGAGAAAATTTTGCTATGGCTATTATTTTGATAGGCGTTAGATTTTTTAAAAAAAATTTGATCGAAGGTATCTCGATGACCAGTTGACCAAATTTGATGAAATTTTTTTTATTTTAATGCTGCATATTTATAGAATTCTAATAAAAAAAAATTCGTCAGCTGGTTGTCGAGATACCTTCAATCAAAATTTTTTTAAAAAAAGACAAATTTCAAAAAAAGTGGGTTAAAAAGAAAGAGAAAGAAATAATATTAATAATTAGCTTAAGAAAAAAAAGACAAAAAAAAAAAAAAAAAAAAACCTTTCCTATTTTTTTCGATGTGACGATCCTTTTCAAAAAAACATCGATTTTCAATTTTCCATTCTTGTTATTCACTTCATATTAGAAATATATTTTTCCCATTACTAGGTGTTGGTATATCTTCTATAAATCACGTTCTTAAGCACTTTTTAAAATATTTATGAAACACTTTCGTCGCTTTTAGGAAAACTATGTTCACTAAATATAATCGATGTAAAACATTAAAACATAATATTGAGGAAAACCTGGCTGGTATTTGTAGAACTTAATATTTCGTTATTTATACTATATGTAAATTTTTTACTTTGAATTTTGTTTATCATAATTCTTTATATATTCTAAACAAATATAATAAAATTTTGATCGTTTCAGAAATTCAAATTATACCGAAATTATAAACTAAATTGAATTGGCTGAAAAATCATTTGGCCAATTTTTATTTATTTGAATTATATTGTTCATCTGTTTTTCACAAAAAAATGGTATTTGGTTCAATTTTCAATGATTTAGTTAGGTATGCAAGTAATCCTTCATATCACTAATAATTCAAGACGAAATTCATTAAAAATATTAAACTGTAAAATATTACAGATGTTAAACCATAAAATATCACAAAAATAACAAATATAATAATATTATATTAATCATTTAATCTATTTAAAATGGCATTGACAAGACTTTCTGGATCAAAATCCACATTAGAATTGTTTTATCATTTTTATCACTTGAGGTATTAGTTGAAACTTCACATAGTATGAAATCTTTTTCTTGAAAAATTGGATCTTTCAAATTTACAGTTTCTTCCAAAATTAAATTACCCCAGTTTGACAGATCATCAGACAAATTATTATCATATGTATTATCATTTTCACTTTTGCTTTTCTCAGCTTTCTCATCAATAAAGTTATTAATTGATGCAAGATTTACTATTTCACGCAATTCATATTCAGTCAATTCAGCATCCAAACAGCTAAGTTTATTTCATATATTTGTCAAATAATATAATCTAATTTTTGCCATCTCTTCAAGCTTTTGAACATCAAAACATACCTGTTTATCACCAATAAACCACTTAAGGGTCGAAAAGCTCCTTTCACAATTGGCCTGGGATGGTGTAATACTAAAGAGTTTCTGTGCAAGTTCAGAAAGATGGTGTAATTTACTTTTTATAGATCCCCACCATAACATAGAAGTATCAAGCCCTGAACATAAGATAAATCGAATGGTTTCTTTCTAACATCATAATAACAAAACTGGAATATTAGTTTGTTGCATTCCTGCTCAGTATGTAAATAATTTTTCCATATAGTTGAAGCAGTTATAGCAGCATCATGGAATGCCTCATTCTTAAGCCTTTTCCCTAATTTTTTTAAAAAAAAATAGTAACCAAATTTGGTAATGTAATAAGATTTTATTTTTATACAGTACCACAATAAAATGGATGAAGATAGTAACACAATAGATAACACGGGTGTTGAAATTCTAATAACATCAATTGAATAGCTAAATCATAACAGGTTTAAACAAAATTGATTCAGGAATATGATAAATTGCAATTGCTAATTTAATCATGTAAATATAACAGTCTACTAAAAACGCAGAGCCACCCTCTAGAGCAGTTATACAAGCTTTTATTGGTTTTCAGATTGAACGAATTTGCCGGCAAGTAATAAAAAAGACATCATTGTGTAACAAATTAAAAACTTCCTTATCTGTAAATATACTGGGATGTTTCAAGCAACATCTACATGTATAATTTATTAATTAGTACGTATTGCATAATTATTTACACTTTTTTTAAAAAAAAGCATTGCATACCCAGTCAAATACTAGACGTGCAATCAACACAGAATTTGTAGTATTATATAATGATCCCCAATGAGTTTGGCACCATATTTCTAGGCCTTCAGACTTGATCTTTATACTTGTTAACCCTTGTTGCAACAATGCCAACTTTTGAGAAAATTTAGTAAAAAATTTTACTAATTTCCTACAGCAATTAATAAATGTCTTTATTTCGGCAATCTTTGTAAGATCTACAGCAATCAAGTTAATAGTGTGAGCAATGCAACGGATATTCAGAATATGCAGATATTTTTTTTGAATTTTTTCTCTTGCAAGTTTACAGTTAGCTGCTAAATCCGTAACAACTGCCACGAATTTTTTAGGCCCAATTTGTTCAATAATATTTGAAATTTCTGAAGCCAAAAAATTTCCAGTATGAGATTCTAAAGAATAATTTTTTACTGCAATTAAATATTCTCTTCACTCTATAGTTGTTACAATATAGTTAAATATGGAATCTATACGCTTTGAAATTCAATCATCAAGAGCTATAATAAAAAAAAAAATTATTAAATATAGTTTACAAAATTTCAAAATGCACTCAAATATAATACTCAGAATCGATTCTCATTAAAGTCAAAAGCCGTAATAATCTAAAAGTTATTAAATTATAAGGTTAAAATTTTTTTTAAAAAAAAAATTAATATAAAAATGCTTTACCTTGCATTTATCATTATTATTTATTATGTTTGCTTAACAATAAATTGAAATTTCAAATTGTAAAGCAAAAGTTGTAACTTAATTAATTTGATTAGTGCTTTACAAAAGGATATAACCTTATGATTTTTGTAATTTTTAAGATTCTATTCTAATTAATTAAAATCGATAAAATTCTTAAAATCTATACATAGAATCTTTAATTTATAAGTCGGAAATTTATTTAATTTATGCTATATATATATGGAGTTGAGTCAACAAAAATTTAGCAAATTGGTAAATTCTTAATTTGGGGATAATCCAATTTTTGTATCACACTTAGTAAATCAATTGGTCTATGTCGGAAGATCATATAAGATTGGAAGATCAACGATCAAAAAGTTGAGTCAATAGAAATCAAGCAAATTTATCTAATAGATTTGCTTGGTTTCTATTGACTTAGTAGTACTAGTAGTACTGTGCAATAGTACTGTCAATTTTTATACACCTGAGGTTTTACTTACCCAAAGCTTATAATGCTTATAACACATATACATACTTTGTATTTATAATAGGCATTTTAGCTATTCGAAAAAACATTTATTTTACAGTTTACGCCCAGGTCTACTATTTATGAACTTTTACAGTATAGTAGTAAATTGTAAAGAGCCTAACGCATGTTTTGGGGAACTTTAAAATAATTTCAAATCTTGATAGCTAAGTGATTGCACCAAACTGTATTCAAGAAATATTCAGTAAGTTCTACTTGACTATTCAGACTTTTAGTTTTTTTTTTATACTACAACTAGCTTTTAAGTACTATACTTATAAAGTTGAATTTTCTTTTAAATTTTTATTATGTCTAGTTGTAAGTTTTAGAGTTATCTGTTATTATCTGGCATGTTTTTCAGCAATTTCAAAGAAATGCCTTTGTTGTGAAACTTTTATATTAGCTAACTATAATTTTGGATTGAATGTTATAGCATAATTCTTTTACTCATTAAAGCAAAACTTGAATAGAAAAGGTTAATTTTTATTACTATACATTCTATATTATTATAAGGTCAGAACCTTGTTAGGGAGAGTAATGCGCACACATATGTGAGTTGTACTGGAGTTATGTAGGATATCAGATTTAGGGTTGATGGTAGTTTGTTATTAAAAACAGTAGAATTGTTATGTTATAATAAACATATAATGTGTATTACACCTTTACTTTTTCTTTTATAAATTATGTAATAAAATATATTAAAATAAATAAAATTAACGATAAGCTAATTACAAAAATTTTATAGAATGCCTTTATTCAATAAAACTTTTAATCTGAATCATATTTTAATATTGAAATATAACAAAAAAAAATAATTGATATTGATTCAGATTAAATAAAATAGCTAATTAACATGCTAGATTGTTCAATTTTTCATATACCATCTAGCTAGCTTGTAGAAAAACACCATGCCAAATTATTATACAAAATAAAATCTTTCACTTATTTAATCATTCTCTAAGTTAACAGTTTTAGAGATTACCGCTTATGATGATCGAGTTTTAAAACACGAGTGTTCTTTACACATGCTGGACTAGTGCTCCTATCAAACCAAACTGAACCAAACTTTAAGCAAATTTGAATTTAGTTTGAAAATCAAATCAAATTCAAACTCAAACTTTTTAAAAATTATATC